ACCTTTAAGTCGTCTAATTCTAGTGTATTTGGTCGCTAGCTTACTTACTTTAATCCACTGTTGGTTGGGAAATCTTCTGCCTTCTTATTTTGAATAACATAGAGTAAAGATCAGATATGCAATCCAGAGTAAGATACCATCTCACCCAAGAGGACATAATCTGTGTTGTAAAACATTATAACTGCATTTGTATTTCTAAAAGACAAGAGCGTCTGTCAGCTAACTGAATATTCTTATAATTACGTTGACCGGTCACCCATGTATAATCAAATCACTGCCAGACATTGAGGAATGAAGCAATAATATTTATATTGGAAATTGTATTAGTGTAAACAATATCCGATATAATTTAGTATCGTGTTTGTTGCTGATACAACAAGTGCCCGTTTGCCGTCCAGTAATATCACCCTGGCAATAAACAATACTGTCGTGGCTCGGAGATCAATGATTATATTATTGAATGATCATTGCTGTGTAGCTACCACTTACAAACTTAAAATGCTATCATTTCTCTGGGATTAATCTCACAATTATCCATATAACGTGATTTACTAGAGCGCTTAATTCTATTACAAAGTTTCCCTCAGTAGGAACCATACCATGACATTTCTTTGTCAAATTGCGTGTTTTATTCACAGTACGGGCTTAGATGTTAAGTAGTTCTTCCATATTTAACTTGTTTATTTTAATGAAAATCGCCAGGACGTTCATAAAAACGACATTTACGATTGTTTTCAGGAAATATCAAATAGAAGTTAGTTTTATTAGTTATTTAAAGCCATATTTGTCCTCATTTCAAGCAATAAAACATCAATTTGATGTTTTCCCTTTATCAGATTCCATATCACATATTTGCCTGGAAACATAAAACCTTATAACAACTTCAGATTTTATTACGTTGCTGATATTATACTTTTGAGATTAGTTAATACTGTTAACACATTTAAAGGCTGTTTTTTTTCATGTGTTCTCCGCCAGATATTTTATTGATAAAGTCTATGGTTTCCCCCTTAGATTTTAATTATCTTTCTTTTTCAAAATATTTTTCCTTTAATAACACCTCTTGAGACGTTGATATTGCTGTAAGGTACATGGATTAAGTTGTCCTAGCAAAGGTTTTTTTTTAAATATTAACTTTATGACATGTATTGCTTTTCTTCAAGTAGATGGATTTCCTTGAACATTTAGTATTCTTAACAATATGTACTAGTGTCTCCGACTCCAGGTACTTTCTGAAAATATTGACGGTAACAATGTTTTTCAATTCTTTGTTTTATAGTAACCGATCATATTGTTATTTCTGATAAACCACAATTTGATAAACATAATTTTCACATGTTGATTGCCGCCTGATCAATTGGGATTATTATCATATTTATTAATATTAATCAGTTAGGGAAAATCGCTTACCTCGTTAAAATGCTCATTTTGAAATACTTATCCTGTAACCATCTTATTTCGAGAGTAAAATTTTTAAATGCTAGCATGCTCTTTGAATTTTTTTAAGAATGAAGTCTTTCGAGGGGGCATGAAAATATAATATTTATTTGTCTAACCCGTGGAATTCCTTGTGTGCGTAAATTAATTCAGTAAGGAACTCCTAACACATCTACATATCTTTTATGTTTTAAATGTGTTTTTAAGTGAATAGGGGTCTCTTCACTTAATAAGGAATCAAAACAGTTTGGTAATATTAAGTATCAATTTAGATTACATGCATTTCTGTTAATCGAAGATGACTAAAGTGATTCATTCAGGTTCCGTAGATAGAAGGTTCTTGTAGTAATCCATTCAGGTACTTTAGATAGAAGATGACTTTGGAAATCATTCCACGTTTAATAGATAGATTCTGAAGATGATTCTACTTATCAATTCAGCCTCTATTAATAGAAAATGATTCAAGTGATCCATTCAGGTTATATAGAAAGAAGATGACTTTGTTGATACATTCAGGATCTGAAACCCATTCCAGCGATCAATTCATTTTCTGTAGATAGAAGATCATTATTGTGATCCATTCAAGTTCTATAAATGGAAAACGACTCAGCTGATCCATTCAGGTTGTACATCGATGACGATTTTTCTAATCCATTTAGGTTTGAAAATTACTCTTATGAACTATTCAGGTTCTATAAATTGTTGCGGGTTAAATTAATATTGGTTCTATGGGTCGATTCAGGTTTTATTAATCAATATTGGTTCTACTGGTCTATTCAGGTTCTGCAAATGGATTCGGATTCTGGTCCATTCAGGTTTTACAAATGAATTCGAGTTCTAGTGGTCCATTGAGATTCTAAAAAGTATTGTTGGTTCTACTGGTCTATTCGGGTTATGTTGATAGAAGACAACTCTTGTGATCCATAAAGGTTCCTTATATAGAAGATGTTTGATCCATTCCATAGACAGAAGATGGTTCTTGTCATCTAATCAGGTTTCATTGATAAAAGATATGTTGCTGATATATTCAGGTACTGTAGATGGAAAATGAATACAGTACCACTTATAGGATTCATAGACAGAAGATGGTTCATGTCATCTAATCAGGTTTCATTGATAAAAGATATGTTGCTGATATATTCAGGTTCTGTAGATAAAAAATGGATAAAGTGACACTTATAGGATTCACAGACAGAAGATGATTCTTGTGATCTAACCAGGTTTCATTGATAAAAGATATGTTGCTGATATATTCAGGTTCTGTAGATAAAAATGAATACAGTGACACTTATAGGATTCATAGACAGAAGATGGTTCTTGTCATCTAGTAATCAGGTTTCATTGATAAAAGATATGTTGCTGATATATTCAGGTACTGTAGATGGAAAATTAATACAGTGACACTTATAGGATTCATAGACAGAAGATGGTTCATGTCATCTAATTAGGTTTCATTGATAAAAGATATGTTGCTGATATATTCAGGTACTGTAGATCGAAGATGTGCCCAGTGATTCATTCAGGTTCTGCAGATAGAAAATGATGCGGGTGATCAATCCAGGTTTTGTTGACAGTCAATTCTTCTACTGATTCATTCAGGTTCTGCAGATAGAAGATCATTATTTTGCTTCATATAGTAGAACCACTCAGTAGAATCGGGTTTAGGGGATAACAGATAATTCCAGTGATCCTTTCAGGATCTAAAGATAAAAGATGATTCTGGCGATCCATTAAGGTTCTGTAGATAAAATATGATTGTAGTGATCCAATTAGGTTTACTTTTGTATTTCTTATCGATGGCCTATATTTCTTTAGACAAAGAACGGTTTTGGGGATATTTCAAGGTTTGTTTTTATATCTCACTTATTGACAACTATCTTGAGAGAGACACTTCTATGAATCCCTCAGTATGTATTTTCTTTCTTATTGTTTTTCATTGATTTCTATAGATAGTAGATGATCCTAACTTTAAGTGTCTATATATCAATATCATTCTCTGATATCGCAATTGTAGTTGGTCTTTTGATTTAATTTTCAACTTTGGAATCCTCTATGGATCTCATGTTTATATAATTCCATTATCAAGATCTTCAATTTCAGACGCAGACGATAATGCATAAGAGATGTATTTTCTTCATGTTTCACGTATAAAATTCTGACATTCAATAGATGTATCAAAGGAAAATATCAAAACATTTATGACAAATGAGTTGATGATTGTAGGTTTTATTATTAGAGACAAAGGAGCAAATCCATTATTTATATCACATTAATTATACAATAGAAAGAAGAAGGAAGTACAAATGTCATACATTATTACCTAAAGGTTTCGTTCATTACATCATAATCAACATTTAACCAAGAAATATTCTATAAAATTGTCTAATAAATTCAAATGTATCATATGGGTTCCTTTTTCTCTGTCATTAAAAAGAGATTTTACGTCAAAGTATACAAGAACATCACATCAATATTTGAAAAAAAAGGTGATTGAATTGCATCAATGCGATGCATGTTTCATTTCGTTTGTCACATACAAGGAAACACAATATTTTCAAATTTAACATCATTTCAAAAATACTATTAGTAATTTCAGTTTATCATTTCAATCTTGTTTGTTTGTGTACTCAAGTGTGAGTTTTAATGTCTTCATATAACTTAAGATACTCATACATGTATAGGTCTAGGAATATAAAACGTCAGCCATAACTATGCCTAATTCCTCGGATTAAAGCTGGAAAATTCGACATAATATGGTGTATAATGTTCATATCGATCAGAGCTATTTGGAGTATAACTGCTACGAGGCAGCAATTATACCACAGACAAAACAAAATATATCTATTGGTCAACTTAAAATATGTAATAGACAATGGTATGTGCAATGCATGTATATTAAGTTCTAAATAGTCTTCAGTCCGGAAATGATTTGAATAAATTGAATTACCATCACTACAAAACTTCGTAAATGAGACTAATACATATAAAGAGATGACAAGAACGGAAATTCTCGATAATAAAAAAAAAAACTGCAAAAGTTCTTGGTAATGTGTAAAGAGCGTGAATCTCCGCTAACAAGGACTTCCGAAGTAACATACCATTCCGTGGCAGTTGAATATTTAAATGTCCTACACAGCCTAATGTAGACTATCTTGACCTTTTGACCGGCGACGCTTTTCAAATGAAAGCGTACCCGGTTGTGTGAAGAATTTTAGGAAACGTCGTCCAACTGTATATATTTACGTCGTATCTGTCATTATGACGATATATCGTTATTCGTATGAATCTAAGGGATCCTAAAATATATATTATAAGTAGCCTTCAGGTAAAACAAGTTTGTATTTATTATTTAATGTGTTTGGAAAACATTTCTTGGCATCTTCTAACAAGGGATACATGTATACCTATCGCATTCTGTCAAAAAGGGACATATATGTCCATAGCGAAGTAAAAAGGTTAACATAAAACAAAGCTCAACCAGAACATCCAGTTATTAAATTATTGCTCTGCGATTAGTAAACTTCCTGTGACGTATTAAATACATCTCCAGTTTTATGTTGTAGGTTGTACAGTCATGGTTACTAAGTGATGCGTTATGTGATGCATGGGTGGCGTCTGACGTCATGGCGTGTACAGCTTCTATATTAAATTTAACGGCCATTAGTGTAGATAGGTTAGTATAAACATTAATTTTATTTTCAAATTCATTGATTTTATTTCTAAATTCAAAAACTAAATGTTTATTTCTATCCAGTTATAAACAGTTATGGTCTGACATCTATAGAAACTTATATTTTGGAAGTCATGCTTTTTCCGGACAGCTAATGACGTTTTTACAATAATCTGTTGGAGTTTGACTGATTGATTGCTTAATATTCTAAACATGCTTTATTTATTGGGAAATTGGAATTTATTAAAACTCATCAAAGTTATATGCTAGATATACATACTGGAGGTGTGATGTGATGGTTACAGACATACATTTTCTCCTTGACAACATTTATGTACGTTTCGTCAATACAGTTTATCGACAGATTGGAGGTATTCCTATGGGCATCAATCGTGCCCCTTTGATAGCAGACTTGTTCCTGTACTGTTGTGAATCACAGTTTATGCTAAAACTCAGTAAAGACCCGTCTAAATTCCATTTAATTGATAAATTCAACAACACTTACCGTTACCTTGATGATATTTTTTCGTTAAATAGTCAAGACTTCTCTAAATATACTGCCGAAATTTACCCACAGCAACTTACTTTAAACAAATCTAATATTATCAGCTATAAGTGTCCTTTACTAGATTTAGATATTTCAGTTTTACTCCAGGAACTCTACACAAAAATTTACGACAAAAGGGATGATTTTTCTTTCCCTATTGTTAATTTTCTTATTTGGACGGTGATGTTCATCTGGCACCATCATACGGTAGAAAATAAAATGATATGGAGTAAATGTACATGGGACAAAATCGCACACAATACATAGAAAACATAGAAAAGTATCAATGAACAGGGCTTTTATTTCTGTTCTTCATCTTGACAGTTGATGTAGGGTCTTCAACAATGAACGATTCAGTCATACCCTACAACAAGGTCAAGACGGTCTTTATTTATCCCATCTCGTTCGTTATGCCCGTGTCTGTAGTGACGTTTTGGATTTCAATGAGCGTAATCTATGTATTACTGGAAAGTTATTAAGTCACGGATTTCGTTAACACAAATTACTTAAAACATTTACTAAATTCTTCCATAGATACAAAGATTTGGTTTGCAAGTTTGGCTGTACCTGTAAAAAACTTATTTCAGACGGAATAGCACATCCTAAGTTTTAAGTTGAGGTTGTTTACCGAGCCCGCAAATTTATATACGATCCGGGTTAACTTATCAATCCTTTAAATAAACTTATTCTAAAAGGTTACCAATACAGCACCGTAATTAGATCTTTGAATATTGTTTTTATTGGTATAAATATTGATTTTGTTATCAGTAAATTAAAATCATACTAATAGTTTTGTTATACTCATATGCACTTTAATTTCACGGTACTACAATCTGTCGATCCCTTATTTTGGCATTGCACAAGGTAATGTTTTTCTCTGACTGTTAATGAAGTCTTTACACTAAATCCATTGGATGTTGGATGTGTACTGATTGATATTTTAGTCTTTAATACATGATTTGTTTTTATCAGTTGTTATTTGCTTTAAAGTAGCTGAAAGTAACTGCGAGTACTCTCAGATATTTACTTAGTGTCCTTTTTGTTGATAGGGGTTAGAGATAGATAAATACCTAGCCACATCCAGTCTGTGTTTATGTTTGATGTTTTTCTGCTTTGTATCGATCTGATGAGTTAAGCCTTTTCAACTGATTTTTATAGTTTCTTCTTATGTTGTGCTGTTACACCACCGTCCCAGGTTAGGGGGAGGGTTGAGCGCTCACAAACATGTTTATCCCCACCACATTCTTTATGTGCCTGTCCCAAGTCAGGAGCCTGTAGTTCATTGGTTGTCGTTGGTTCATGTCTGTCATTTGTTTTTCGATAATTGTTTTGTTATAAATTAGGTCGTTAGTTTTCTCAATTGAATTGTTTCATATTTTTCATGTCGGGGCTTTTTATTGCCGACCGTATGGTATGGGATTTTCTCATTGTTGAAGGCCGTACGGTTGCCTATAATTGCCTACATCCACTTTATTTGAACTTTGGTGGATGGTTGTCTCATTGGCAATCATACCTCATCTCCTTATTTTTATATTATAGTTTGGTATACGCATTTCGTCTACCTTAGACTCATCAGTTGCGCTCGAATAAGAACACATTGTAGATTGTTTATGAGTTTTTTTAACAACCAATGAGTCGATTCCACTGCTACGATTTGTAGTAGAGTTTTCATCCATGAGGGTATCACTAGCCCAGCAGTCAGCACTTCTGCGTTGACATGAGTTATCATTGATATGGTCATATCTTTAAATCAACAGTTTATAAAACTTTGAACTTTTCGAAATACTAAGGATTGTCTACCCTGGAATAGATTACCGTAACTGTATCTGTCAAAACCGTTCGAAATCTGGGGTCCTGAATGGTCTTCAACTGCGTTCTCTATTTGGCATTTTAACTTTTTAGATTCCAGCGTCACTGGTGAATGTTTTGTAGACAAAACGCGCGTTTAAGCCTGGTATGTTTGATGTTTTTTTTAAAGATTGTTTTTAGAAGAGTCGAAACAGTATATACAGTATCGTATGGAATGTCATATCATATTCCAGATATATGTTCTTAAGTTGCCCTTTTCATTTGTAATATAAGATAAAATGTAACACAAACAGATACTGATTCAGAACTAAATATGTTCAAATTGTAACATAGGATTGGAATCCAGAGTACAAAATGCAAGCGAGACACATACAAACAAATACAACTAAACAAAAAATATAAAAACAGACGACTCTTCAAACAAAAAGTTTTGTTACACACTTTGTTGAAGTAAATATTCTTGGTTAAAGGAAGTTTTTCGCCAAAATGTGTTTTAAATGACGCAGATTAACATAGGTATCCTATAATGATATACTAAAGGAACAATATAGATATCATTTACGTTCTTATCTCGATTTAGCAAGGATGGAATTTAATTAGGTTTTTTTTTTTTTATCAAAGACGGTATTTTGATATTTAACTCACATAACGATCTATTGTTTATATCTCATAAATCCAGATAAAGTGTGTAAACACAGTCAATTCCTAGTTGGACCACGTGCGTCTATTTGTCATAGCATTACGATTGTGCTTTCATAACATCGAAAATGACGAAACTTGTCCTCATAGTGGACATGTGGGATGTAACAGATAATTCAAATATATACTGGTCACTTAAGAAACTGAGACTTTGTCAGGAATATGACGGTTGTTTTCCATTCGTTTGATGTGTGAGCTTTTAATTTTGCCATTTGATTAGGGTCTTTCCGTTTTGAATTTTCCTTGGAGTTCGGTATTTTGTTAATTTAATTTTTTGTAATGATTAACCAATTCATGATGGTCACTGTAGAATTTGAGACAATACCAATACTTTCTTTTAACCCTGTTTGAGGAAACTTTAAAACACGAAGAACTTAAATCATCACATTTATCTTATATCTATGTTTTGAGTTGTACATCATCGTCGATTTTCAGAAAAGGTCTAGAAGTATAAAGACTTTCTAATTTCTGAATTATCCTTAATTGCAAGGTCACATTTAGATTTTGGATATTCAGAAAGGAGTAGGTCCAGTAAGACCCCTTTTTGTTCCCAAAATAAAGCAGTTTTACAAAATTGTTACAATGTAAACTTTTAGCTATTTATTGGAAAGTATAATACTTCTGCTACATAAAAATGGGCTGTTTTTGACAATACAATGCACATATATCGGGTACTAGCATCATTAAGTCATGCTAAATTACTGAAATCTTCACAATTTTAGAATTTGAGTTAAATTTTAGACGGTTTCCGTCTTAAATGGAAGTGGCCGCATTTGTGTTCATTCTTAATATTTAAATATAAGTTGTATTTGATGATAATACATAACATATATAAAGATCGAGAGTGAACACGGATGCGGCCACTTTCATTTTTGACAAAAACCATCTGAAAAGTGACACATTATGGCATATTTGATAGATTTTTCATATTTAAGCTTGCATTAGAGCGTCTGAAATGACTTATTCAGTTAAAATCTTTCACATAAACTAATTGAATCGACTGAAGAAGACACTTGAGTGCTTAAAAAGTGTCCAAAATCTTTCATCTGATGTACCTGAAATTTGAGGCCAAAATCGGCCCTTACCGGACCTACTCCTTTTGGCATCTCTGAAGAGACAGTAATTGTCGAAATACGCATCTGGTGCAATAAAATTGATACCGTTTATGTTTTCACTGGTACGTACGATATTTACTGTAAACTTGAACTTTGAAATGGAATGATTTTTCTCAGTATTCCTTAGTTATAACTTGAAATAAAATCCTTTTTAGCAATTTCATTGATGTAAATTAAGTAGTGATTCAACTGAAATTCCATACATCATATTTGATTTTTGGTTAAATTAAAAAAAAACAACAAAAAACAATCAAATCGTTTACGAAAAAATATTTCGCCGTCAAAAGTTTTTCGAAAAAAAGGACTTCCGAGTTTTTATCTATTAACTTGCAATCTTCATTTCCCCAAAACAGACAGCTTCGGAATTTTTAAGCCTTACAAATGACCGTAATTACATTATACTGCATAATCCTTCTCTATCTGGCATACGAACACCCTGCTGAAATGAAAAAAATCTATTTGACTACTTTCTGCGACGAAAGACACAAAAGTTTCAAATCTAGACAAAAATTACGAAGGTTCATCATTCATCAAAATAGCATGCACTATCCTAAAACTTTTGCTGTTCTTTGTTAGCCAATGCTTCGTGTTGAATGCCATACTTTGACCTATAATGGTTTACTTTTACAAATTGTGACTTGAATGGAGAGTTGTCTTATTGGCACTCATACCACATCTTCTTATATATATCTAAATAGATTTTGTTAACTTTTCAAAGATCCTTATCTTAAACTAAGTCCCGCAGTTTGAGTCACTCATTTTTGGTGTAATTTTGGAGGACATCATGACCTAAATAGATATAAGAAGATGTGGTATGAGTGCCAATGAGACAACTCTCCATCCAAGTCAAAATTTATAAAAGTAAACCATTATAGGTCACAGTACGGTCTTCAACACGGAGCCTTGGCTCACACCGAACAGTAAGCTATAAAGGGCCCCCAAAAATTACTAGTGTAAAACCATTCAAACGGGAAAACCAACGGTCTAATCTATATAAAAAACGAGAAACGAGAAACACTTATGAACCACATCAACAAACGACAACTACCGAACGTCAGATTCCTGACTTAGGACAAGTTTTATGTCAGACTAGTATATTATATTTACCCATGCTTAATATTACTTCCGACTATGAAGCGACTACCAATAGAAAGTAACTGTTCTTTTTACAGTTGCACTAGATTGCAATTGTATGCTATAGCCAGTAAAATTTTATTCGCAATCTGAAAAAAAAAAGTTCTGCATTTGTTTTTGTTGGTGAGGGGGAAAGGGGAGGTGGGGTGAGCTTGGAAGATCTGCATGAAGTTATTTTTACGTTCTTATTTCGAGAAAAAACATCAATATGTCATATTTAAGTCAGATGAGCAATTCAGATTTCTCGGCTTTTTCCTATCGGAGTGATGTTTCTTTACGGGAGTACCTAGGGTATCAAAGGCCTTTTAGTCTGTGCGTTCCTGCAACTGGCAGGAATATGCATTTGTACTTTCATAATGATGTTTATGAAACTTTTAGTTGATAAAAAGATTAGATTTATTTAATTCAAAAGTTACATTGCAGATAATGCTTTCTTTTAAAGCCTTTTTTCAGGTACAATGCTCCTCAACATTGAATAACTTCACATCCTCGATATTTTAGTTCGAGATATGCTGTGTGTCAGTGTAATTTTGCTGTGTTATGATATGATTTGAATTCTAGGCTGAGAAAAAAACCTTCTGTCTATTCATTTGCATAAAGACTTTAAATTTAGATACCAATCCTAGAGAACTTGACATTTTACATTGTTCTTTTCAGGTTTATAGCAGTGACACAACCAATCAAATACTCGAAACATAAAAATTCCAAACGTGTATTTGTGACGTTAGCATTGACGTGGGTTATTTCCGTAGCAATAGCAGCACCTATAGCATTAGGTGTTAACTATTCCGAAGAAAGGAAGCCAGGATTGTGTCAATTTTTTAATTCTGATTTTCTGATTTATTCTTCCATGGGATCATTTTACATACCTTCCATTATAATGATGTTTTTATACTGGCGAATATGGAGAGTTTTACGTATTCGTGCAAAAGCACAGAAAAAAAAGAAAGCAAAAGCGACAAAGACAGCCACTTCAAACGTTATAGAAAATACCGCTACAATAAATGCCACAAAAACGGAACCTACCATTAAAACAGGTTTAGCTAAGAGCATGGACAATGGTAAAATATCCACGTACAATACTAACAAAGCCCCAAACCAATTATTAATTCCTGTCTGTGATGACAATGTCAGTAATATGGCCACAAATACCGACTCCAGTGAACGGTATAATGACGATGATAGTGGCCAAAAAAGTCCGGAAAGTGCTGACGATGCGGACGAGAAGGAGGCAGAGTTAATCATTAACCCCGTTGCTGTTAGGCATGTAGAAATACAAATTGACGGCAATGGAAATGGGACATGTAATGTAGACACTCAAATGGAAACAGAGACAAAGTTTTCATCCACACCGTCCTCGGAACGTCGAGGAAAACCCGGAGAGTTTGAACATCAGTGTCAGTTAATTCCTGCCAATGACACAAGAGCAGTAAACCTTTCAAGGCGAAAGGAAAAACGTACTGTAGGAAAATATTTTCATAGACGAACGAGTAGGAAAAGGAAAGAAAAATCATCATCAAAGCGAGAAAAGAAAGCCACAAAGACATTAGCCATCGTTTTAGGTGAGTAATAATTTAAAAGAACATTATTTTCAATTATTCATGATTATTAGCAGTCAACCCTCTCAAATACAAATAAAAAACATTAACTTAAAAATTGTTAATTACAGGAAAGACAACAATTAATGTTTTATGACGCACATCCTTTTAGATATACATGTTAATTTGTATCCACATAACTAGTATTGAGTTTATAAAAGCAAACTTCAAAATTATGCGGAGCATTGCATTTTCATATGTTTGTCAAATGTTTTATTTATTTGGTTTCCTCATCATTGGATATTGAGTAAACCGGAAGTAATTAATTCCAGAAACACTATTTTAGAGATTTTTTTGAAAAAGGAAACAGTCCATATATATAGGAAGAACAAATTTTATCATAAAAACAAACACAAAATGTAATGAATACTGAACTATATACCATCCCTTGGACTTCTAATGCTATGATATTATTGCAATCATGAAATCATACTGAATTATAGACTTCAAAAATGCACTACTAACAACACCACAAAGAACGGCAACAGATACAAACTAAGCCGCAACACCACATATTACACAGTCTTTTTAATATATATTTTATGTATAAAACGTTTGTTTTTTCTTCTTTTCCAGGTGTTTTCCTCTTTTGCTGGGTTCCATTTTTCACAATCAACATAACAAACGCCATATGCATCAAATTTAAACATAACCTCTCGACAAATCCAATATGTCAGCCGAATATGATCCTTTTTAGTGTCTTTGTCTGGTTAGGGTACATAAATAGTTTTCTTAATCCAGCGATCTATACAATATTTAATCCAGAATTCAGGAAAGCTTTCAAAAAAATTTTAACCGATTGTTGCAAATGAGACAACTGTGTGATACCTTAAATTTAATGTCAAATGACGTGGCATACAAATATACATATTCATAATGTGTGAAATATTCCCTTTTTATAATGAGAGTATGTCCATGCAAACGCCATGCGTAATATACATTTAGTGAGTAAAATGAATTGTACATATTGCCAATGATTAAGTGACAATCGTTGTATGGGCGCATAATTTGACTAAGATTGACAGACAAAACCTTAAGTGATTAAATCACGTGATCAGTTATTAAATGTTATTGAAGTATGATGCTGGCTTTGCTTAAAAGGTAAACAGAAATAAGAACCTACATGCGAGAATAATAAGAGCCACGCGTACAAAAGAAACAGTTATGGTAAAAAAAGTGAACGAAAAAGTAAAAACAACTTTACAGTGGAGACTTTTTAACCTCTCGGTACAATAGGAATATCGACAAACATTTTATGCGAGTTCTTTGTCGGAAAAGGTTGTGAGTTTAGAAATGAACAATCAACCAGACAAAGTTTGTTTTGTTTTATTTGGTGCAATATAATAAAAACTTGCCACGATTATTTCCTTATCAATAGTGCTTGTTGCACTTAGTAATCCTACACAGGACTGTGTATCATACTATGAGTGACTTGGTAGATTTATTTCTATGGAAACTAAACAAATAAGGCAAGCCTTATTCAGAGCTACATTTATATTGTTTATATTGTTGACATTGTAATTAGAGACTGTGTAATAATTCCAGTTGTGATCATTATGTAACATATCTATTTATTGGAAGACACTGAATATAATAAAATTGTAACACGTTTCATCTGAAACTAGACTTCTTAGTTCCTATTTATTTCGCTTGAACGTAAAGACTAGAAACATTTTACACAAATGAAAAATGTATACAGTAGAATACAGAATAAAGAATAACGAAGAGATGGATAAATAGCAACTACCTTTTGGTTTTAAAAACCGGTATATTTCATTTACATTTTCCCATCTATCACCGAGGGGTCAATATAATGCCCGAAATATCATTCATCAAAAGACAACGCTTCAGGAACAGCGCGATTTAGTAAATGTTTTTGAGAAATATTGTCATAATATCAGTAAATGAACTGCTTAAGCTTCGCTAAACAAAGCCTCAAAATCTTTAATAAAAATTTGGTGGTACATGGTAACTGTGAAAACTCAATTTTATTAGGGAGCTTTATGTGTAGAATAATTGCATCATAACAATTCTAAGAAAGTGTTGGTTAAATGTTTACTTAAAGGGGCACTAGCTATGAGATATATAAAAAACATAAAATACGATTTGTTTTGTTCAATCATTAATGAAAGTGAAATAATAATTCGCTTTTAGCAGCCAGTATGGTTCAATTTTGTCAAAATAAGCTAAGAAACATTGTGATGAATTATTCACTTGCTAGTGAATAATTCGACCTCATTGAATCCGTATTCATGTGAACTTCAATTTAACCCCTTAGCTAGAGATGGATAACGCATGAATCGTGCGTGTTCAGTTATTTAAAGGAAAAGAATGTCAACATTGAAAGTGAAACAAAGGTAAATCGTTTGATTGACTGATTCGATCCACAAAAATCATTCTTATACAGGTAAAAACGATGTTTAACATATATTTTTAATCTATAATATGAAATTAAACAGACCTAGAAAATTCCAATTGCACGATTTCGCTTTCTATTTATATCTAGATTTTTATGTTTATATCGCTTATATGGCCATCGGAGGTCATCGGGGGTCAACCTGATAGTTAATTAGATGGCGTCTAGACTAAAATACACACGAAACGAAGCTACATATTATCGAGCCCATGCCCTGTAAATTGATTATTTTAGACTTTTCATAATTTGGATAAATGTTTTACATTGTTATAAATCATATATGAGAGTTTGAGTCAAATCGGTGAACATGAATTTGACAGCTAGTGCCCCTTAAACAGAGAAGGAAGGCTATTTGGTGAAATGCATTATATTATTTTGTTCATTAGGTATGAACTACTGTCCAGTTAGGAGATAACTGTATTGTATTTTAATCTCCGACGGCATCAACTGGTGATTTGATGGTCGCAAATTAAGTTTACTGGCGACGCGTTGAACGGGCCTAGTAAACGGGTATTTGCGACCATCAAATCACCAATTGATGCCGTCGGAGCTTAAAATATAATATCGTCATCTCCATTCTAATGAAAATGATAGAAAACAACGTCAAACCATACATTTAGAATCTGTCATACGTCGTCTGCGCCTGCGCGTACGTTTTCATAGCATCAATTGTGAATTTATGCCATGAAAATTGGTGACGTTATTCAATGAAAATGAACGTTTCAAACGATGTTGCAATGGAATATACGATTGTACTCGACGTTGCTAAACGTTGAATCGATCCCGTTGGTTTGACGTATTACAATGTATGGTATACGTAGGTGAGATGAGGTAAATGTATTATGGTAAACGTAGGTGAGATGACGTATTATGGTATACGTAGGTGAGATAACGTATTATGGTATACGTAGATGAGATAACAAACAATTATCTTGAACTCTACAACGACATAGTTTTTTGTCTCTAGAATTAGAACTCAATAATATGTAATAATGAAGCATTAAAATTCTTTTTAACAATGATCACTGCATTATGTCATCTATGAATCATCTGTATAAGTAGAGAATTTGGTACTTTTTGTCTGGTCAAATATATAAATGATAACTAGTTTTTGGGAGGTTAAAAATTAGAGTGTCAATTTCTGTCAAGTGGGCCTGTGCGACTCCCGACATTTGTTGCTGTTCACAGATTCCCATTTGGAAATAGCTATTGACATTGTCGTTGGTCTGCAGTATTAACATCGATTGTATCCCCCTTGAAACGTGTTTCTGGAACAAAATTCCTGGACGTTCGAGAAAAGTTTTGGGCCCAAGGTATGAACTTTTTCAAAACACAAAAAATACTTATAGAACGTCTCAAAGTTTTGGAATGAATTTGTCCAACGAAGATGCAAATTTTAGTAAAAGTCTAACTGTATGCATATTACTGTTCATAAATGAAGTTGCGGATGACTGTAGTTATATTTGAAAAGACAAAATGTGGCCTATTTATTCTCGAGATCAAATCCTTGAAATGGACCAAATACAATGCTTAAGAGCAGTTGGAATTGCTATTTCAAAACGAACCAAGAGCTCATACATCCCTGCAAATCCAACCGACCGTTTAACACCGCGGTCTAGGTCTCCATATTGCTAAATTTTGGCTTTGAAGCTCACAGTGGCCAATTGATATACGAAAATAACAGATTATGGAAGATAAAAACTATAGAACAAACATTTTCATCATATCAGAATTTAGTATTTTTCAAGTAAACACCAACACGACTTTTAAAACAGAAAGAAAATTCAAGACGAGCTTGGCTTTCACCAGTTTCGTAGAGTGTACAAATAAACTATATTTACATACAATGTACGAATATTGATTTTATCCTGCAATTTAACATTTCCGCTTAAACGTAGAGCATTTTTTATTTTCCAATCGTTGAATTTGTTTTTGAATGAAATCGATATGACTTAAACGCAATTTTTGATGAAAACCCGAAATTGAACTTTGACGTAAACAGTAATTCAACGTAATAGTTCGGTCACCGCTACAGAAGCAGGATACCAAGAAACTAAATACGTTTATCGCTTCATGTTATGTGTTTAACTGTATTTGTATAATAAAAAGTGACTGCAGGATAAATTGTATTTATGTGTCGATTGACAGAAATTGAACGCTGCGAATTTCTGTTTTTATTTATTAATTAAAATCAAATTGCAATTGTCAAATGTCAAATGTTTCTAGGGGCCCCGGTGGCCGAGTGGTCTATGTCGTTGAACTACTGTATCACTTGTCTGTCAACACTTAGGTTGTGGGTTCGAACCCCGCACTTGGTAGATGCACTCGACTCCAATCTTAATTGACAAGTATTTCAGTTTTCTTGCCGAAGGTGGGTGGTTCTCTCAGGGCACTCCAGCTTACTCCCCAACTAAAAAAACTGACCGACACAAAATACCAAATTGTGGTGAAAGAGGCGCTAAACACCAATCAATCAATTAAATATTTCTGCAACAAATTTATCCTATCCAGTTCTCATAAACTGTAGATTGCAATACAATACACTTTAATAATCATAAATCATCTGTTAATAAACTTTTAATTTTTCGAACTTTTTTACCCCAGGAATAGATTACCCTAGCTGTATGTGGGAAAGCCTTTCGGAATTTTGGGTCTTCAATGCTCTTTAACTTCTTACTTTATTTGACTGTTTGAACTGTTTGATTCGAGCGTCACTGACGAGACTTTTGTAGACGATACGCGCGTCTGGAGTACAAAATTTTATACCTTTACTTTAATCACTTGTGAATTCAACAAGCATCTTCAATAGTGTCGACACAGATGTTACTTGAATTTCAATGCGTGAAATGATATAAATATGGATGCGAAACTTGAATCCTAAAGCTAATCAGAAGAAATAAGAGACAAATATAGTTGGAGAAATTTACATTTCGTGTATTGTATACGACAGTATGTGTGAATTTATGAATAGAATTGGAAAATTAGATTATCATCGACTCAATAGAGAATGAAATTTATTGCTGCGCAAACCCGTGCATGATGATATATTGCTATTAAAATGGTAAGATTAAACACATAAATGGCCAATTATTTTGAGAAAGTAAGACAAAGTCATTCCATGTATGCATTATATACAATATAGAAGACTTACTCCAATAATTAGGATTGCCAGTTGTTTCCACCAAAGGTCGGTGGTGCTCTCCGGGCACTCCGGCTTCCTCCACCAATAAGAACTGACCGCCGCGAAATAGCACAATATCGCGGAAAGTGGCGTTTAACACCAATCAATTAATCAAACCAATAATTACATATTCTGTCAAATTTTTACTGTATCAAACAGGGTGCATATACAAAAAAGTAAATCACAAACTTTCGGCATTTAGCTAATAAACAACATCACACATCAGGAAATCGATTGCTAATACCATTAGTGAGTTTGATACCTGTATGTGTGCACAATTAATTCTAACTAGAATTTCGTCTATATGTGAATTACCAATCCCTCAAACTAGACAAATATATATTGTTGTTAAAATAAATCCTGAATTCTAGTGATACCCTCTTCTATGTTATATGAATCAATATGATTATTTTTTCTTATAATTTATAAGAAGAACTTCGTTTCTTTGATTTTCAATTTAGGCAGCCAATTCTGCCTAATGTGACTACTCCTGATTTCAAGATAGTATAATGCGGTACAGAATACATAATGCGAGGCATATATGATTTTAACCATAGATGTTTAAATAGATTCGTAGATGACTTTCAGAAAGTATAAATTACTATTTTAGTCATCTACCAACAGTATTTTATGTATAATATCCCCTTCATTGAATTTTAATGTGAACAGTGTGGTCGAACAGCTACTAACTTTTCAATAAACCTACCTGCGCGCATTGATATCAATGTGGATTTCCAACATATTTTTTAAATATAAAAAATGGGCCCTAACGATTAAATCCTCCCAGCTTATACGATTTAAGCGTGCACCACATGCATTAATCTTGTCCTGAACGCACGATCTTAATTGCGAAGAAGTCCCTCAAACGATTTAGTGAAATCTTCGGTGGTTCCGGAGTCGGCTTTTCCCAAATAAAAACAATCGTGAGTATCGATAACTAGCAAAAAATAATATGTTTTTCATGCTTTCCTAAATAATGACAGAATTGGTAAACGAATAGACTATTCCGAAGCATATTTTGAATTGGAC